TGATCAGTTAATGAGCGCTAATGCCATGAATCTCATTATCTCATTAGGAAACCTGTTTGTCAAACACGGCCTGCGCTGATATGATTCAGCGTGTGTATCTCGGATACTTTTGCTCTGATTGTCGCTCGCATGCAGGAAGTAAGAGAAGCAGAAGTCATTGTGCTCTGAGGTCGTCACAGGAGCAGCTGTGCTATGAATAGAGGACAATAAAGGACGTTATGACTTTGTAGATAAGGCAGGAGGAAACTCGCTCAATGGAGGCATGTTCGGCTTGTCTGTGCTGATCAGAAACAGACAACAACCAGACAACATTAAAATCACACAGATATCAGAAGAGTTTCGCTCTTATACAGGAGCGTGTCTTCAAACTTCAGGTAAAATCACGTGAGTGAGTTAATGACAGTAAACTGAAGGTTTCTGAACCCTAATGAGACGACGCATAAAAGGCCTGTCGCAATAATCAATATATCGACTTATCGCGCAATATATGTACATGACCTCAATAATTTTTGGTGACGCAATATATCGCCCATTATATTTACTTAAAAATTAATGCCACCACGTTTTGTACATTCCACTTGCGCCTGTGTCTTTTGCAGCTTCTCGTACATAACGTGGTGTAGTCATGAGGTGCTAGTTCACATTTAAAAAATGCTTCTACAAACAAAGTTCCATCTGCAGATCTTGACTTGTTATTTGAAGAAAAAATACATTATCTTTTATTCGGGCTAGTTAAATTAATTTTTAGGCTAGCAAAATCTGAAGAATGCCTGCCCGAAGGGCTACCAGGGATTTTTAAATTTTGCGAGCCCTGCCACGCTTGCTCCGCCTCCGCACTCTTCTGATTGGTCCACTGCTCTGGAACTGACATTGATGAGCGTCGCTGCATGTAAAATTCTTTTAACTTGACACGGCGTCTTAAAAACACGGCGCTCATGTGCAAGACGCTGTAAAAGATGCAAGATGTGAAATATTATAGATATTATACACATTCCTCTAGCGCGCATTTACATAGAAAAACAATGGAAAAGTAGCGCATTGGAATGGAAAACGCATTCTGTGCGAACAGCCCATTATAGAGCAGTTCTGTGTAAGATATAAACATCCACTGATGTTCTCTTTGGCATTGACGGTTCCAAGAAGAACCTTTAACATCCACGGAGTCCTTCCACTGATCAAAATGTACTTTATAGAGAAAAAAATGGTCTTTAGATTATTAAAATGTTATTTACATTAAGAAAAAATGGTTCTGGAATGGATTACTGTAAGGTTCTTTGGAGCCAAAACGGTTGGCAAAACCCCTTTATTTTCAAGAGAGTAGAGTAAAATTAATTCTCCTAACAAAGACTCCAGAGACCGGCACATTTTTCCTCCAGAAACCAGCAGAAATCCTCCAGAGACTCCAGCCTCCACCAAACAAGCTCCGCTGCCATTAGTTCTCAGCGGCACACGTGAATGTGCCAAACACCGAGTAAAGAAAAATCTGAGTGACACCAAACCCATGGGCTCGGTTTCAGTCTGCTGAGATTCTCTCGCAGACACAAAACGCCATAATCACTTCACAACGAGCTGCCAAAGAAACTATTTGAACGCAGCTGACGTCATCACGGCACACAAACAAAAACAAACAAAGAAACGCTGAGGACATCCAGAAATACTCCCACAGAATCACATGGTCCCAGACGCAGCTGCTGTTTTTAACCACTCGCGGTCAGAAGTGTCTTCAGTGCTGCTGTTTCTAACATAATGGAGCAAAAGTCTTTACATAACACTGCAAGATATTCAGTGTTGGTTATAATGCATTACAAGTGGCGCGAGTTATGTAATCAGATTACTTTTGTAAGTAACTACTAAAGTAACACATTACTTTTAAATTTGCAATAAAATATCCGAGTTACTTTTTCAAACGAGTAACGCCAGTTACTTTGTTGCCCATGTATTGAGTGACAGCTCTGGTGTTGCCATGGAGACAGAAATCAGGAGTAAGTGCAGAGGCGTTGTGTGTGAACATGATGTTACTGTAGTTCTACACTAAATGTCAACATGCATTTGGGTCAAAGACGTTAAGATGTCCGCATCAAAAGAAATTTACAAAAGTGATTTTATGTGCATAGAAAGCACATTAAATGTAAGTAAAGTGTCTAACTGTAAGGTTTCAAATAAGTTTTTGTAGAATAAAATGTCAAAATTTGGTTGAAAATTTGGTAATGTTACATTGTCATTCAGTGTAACACAATATTTATGTAAAAATTCAAACAACAAGATTATTCTGACGTGTACATATTAAAATATATAAAAGAATAAGGGAGCATATTAAATTTGATTGTGTTTTAAATGAGTATAGTGGGTCTCTTCTGTAAATCAGAGGAAAATATTATTATTTATATTATATATATATATTATATTAAAAAAATATATTTATTTTTTGCTCAGAAAAACAAAAACAAAATTGCAATTAAATTAAACAGAATTTTTTTTTTTTTTTTGGGGGGGGGGAAAATAACAACAATTTAAATCAGTATTACACTTATTGTTTTTATGCTTAAACCCTTTTTTGTCTTTGAACCATTTACTCATCTCACTTGCACAAAAACAGATTCAGTATTCCTCAAAATGAATAAAAACAAAGGAATGCAAACTCAGAATATGATGCAAACCTGCAATAATTAATTACGTTAAACATCCTTTATGTATTTAATCCCATTTTATTAGCCAGTGTCTTTGCTGCTGACCCTCAATGATCCAATTTAACCATGCTAACAAGAAAAAAATACTTTAGATAAACATAGCATTTGTGTTTCATTTCTTTTCATTGCTGAAGAGTGTTTCTTCTCCTGCGTCCTATTCTTCATGCAATCCAGAATCCGTTTCCTTCAGCCTATTCATTTCACTTTTGGTGTGAAAAGGCTTTTGCATTTGCCAAAAATAGAACTTTTTATATTAAAAACAAACATGCAAGCCCAGCTCGGATTTAAAAAGTAACATAACGCGCTACTTTCCATAAAAAGAAACAATGCAATTAGTTACTTTTTTAGGGAGTAACACAATATTGTAATGCGTTACTTTCCCCGACGCTTAAGATATTAGTGAAGAGCATCTTATCTACCGCAGAGAATCCTGTTAGAAAGCTCACGTTCAGGTTAAAGCTCCACTGTGAAAACTCATCATACTACAGTAACCAGCAGCTCAAAGCTCGAGATCCAGCGAAACCCGGTGTGAACCCTTAAAATACTACAGGACAGTAAGATGTCTCAGCAGCTGAAGATAACTCCACGGCTCAATGAAATTAATGGAAACATTAGCGGTTATGTAACAGGGCTCCATATTTAACCCGTAGCACTGGGACCTGCACCGCTCATAACACCAATTACTGAAACCCACTGGAGAGCGACTCTGTCTTACAGTGCGTCCCTATTAAGGGCCGTTAACCATTTACTTCCCTACACTGAACCACCTCAGATTAGAGCTTCTCAGAATTACAGTCAAGGTTCAGGACGTGCTAAACCATCAACAGCAGTGATGCATTAATGAAGTCTGATCTCTGCAATACTTGCAATTAGAGCATATTTCATTGTATAATGCTCATAATAATATACTTTTTATGGATTATGTGATTGCATGTTGTTCACACAGTGTCATTTTAATTATTAAATGTATTGATTCCCCTAAATTCTTATTTTTTTCTTATTTAAACGTTAAATTATAAGCAATTAGACTATGTATGAAACAAATAATTATGTAAACACTGGTGATGTATAGCTGTCGTCATATCTAGTGAGCTTCAGTATGTGTTCATTTTGGAAAGTCAGGACAAAATATTTCAAAATTGGAAGACTTTGGGAATATAATGACATTGCTGCATTCATTTGTATTAATGTTTGTTGATGTAATGCATGGATTCCCAAACGTTTTTGTCAGCCAAACCCCTTATAATAAAATATTTAGCTGAAATATCTCTGGGGAAGTTAAGATTTCAATAATTTAACAATACATTTGCATGTTTACAGTTCTCTGGTGTCAGTTAATAGTCATTGACATGCAGGTAAACAAATATTTTTATGATTTAATGAATTATTAGCATTCTGTCAACTCACACAAACCCTCTGCCGTTCTTACATTAAGCCCAGTTTGCGAAACCCTGATGTAATGTAATGTTTAATGTATTTTATGATGTTAGAATATATTTTCTGTGTCTTTGCTTTTTTTTTTTTTACCTTGACATTTACATTTAGTCATTTAGCTGACGCTTTAGCGACTTACAAATGACTTATGCACTTTTATTTCAATATGGTACATTTAATGGTAACTTTAAAACAAGTTAGATAAAAAAGTAGGCCTAATCTAAAAAAAAAAAGTAGTCATAATACATTACCTAAAATGAGTAACCTAGATTACGTTACTAACTACAGTTTTCATCATGTAATCATAAAGAACTACAATTTACCCAGCACTGTGTATTAATAACATCTGAATGAAGCGGTGATATAAACAGCTGCAGTGAAGTCTGATTTCATCACTAATATAAACGTAAATACAATGATGTTATAATACAATCTGACGCATAGACTGGCAGTGATATATCAGTGAAGTCTGATCTTAGCAGAGATATAAACACAACTGCAGTGCTGTAATGATAGCATCTGATCTCAGTGATATATCAGCGAAGTCTGATCTTAGCAGCGATGTAAACACAATTGTAATGATGTAAGTAATAATAAGATCTGATCACTAATGTAACGCGTCAGTGAAGTCTGATCGCGTGCGCGTGACCGGCTCTGCCATGGCAACCGGGACAGTATTTACCGCGCAGCCGTTAAACCAGCGAACGGAACGGAACCGTGATCAACACACAAAATAAACACAATAATACACACTAGCTACAACACACCGCGAACGAGCTGCTGTTTGTGTTTACAAAGAGTACATTTAAAAACACCGCGATCTACAACATACAAGTGTGTGTGTGTGTGTGTGTGTGTGGTGTGTAAACACACACTCACCTGTTTCTGTGTTTCTTCCCGCTTTTACCGCATGGCCGAAGCACAAACACGCACGGCTCGGCAGGTGACGGTGGCTGTCAGTGAGTTTCTCGGTTAAATGACTAAATGAAGAGCCGCTGGCGTGAGTTTGACTCGCGCTCCGCCTCAGCTACCCCCGCGCGCGACCCGACAGCGCCTCCACGCGCACGCGCACGTCATCACACCTGAGCGCGCAGGTGAACGTGCCATTCAAATTACCGTTTTTTACGATTGTTTACACACTAAAATAAAAATTTCCACACAATTTGCAAAATTCTACTCCAATGAGCAAAACACCTCCACAGATTTGCACAACATTACACACAATGTCTGCTTCACCCTTTTTGCAAAACATTACACACAGTGATTTGTAAAACTCTACACACATTTTCACACCTTAGACACAGATAAGGATTGTGAGGTTACTTCCTTGTCATTACAAAGCCCCGGATTGCCAATGACCACACTAATGAACGAATTGGATAATCACATCCACCAGGTGTGGAAGCACACATGTGCTAATTTGAAAACGCAGCACTCAGGTGTGCTATAAAAGGCAGCAGGTGAGTTCACCTGTCTTCAACAAAAATGGAAGGAGCTAAAAGAAGAAGAAGAAGAGTGAGAATGAGAGGGGGAGCTCAAAGAGGAGATGAAGGAGGAAGAGGAGAAGGAGGTAGAGGAGGAGGCCCAGGTAGAGGAAGAGGAGAAGAAGGAGATAGAGGAAGAGGCCTAGGTAGAGGAAGAGGTAGAGAAGGACTTGAAGAGTTGATAGAACCTGAATGAAGTGTGTCATTTTGCAAACAATCTAGGAATTATGCACATTGAGTGTGGTGTTTGGATAATTGTGCTTATTGTGAAAAAAAGAACCCGGTTTTCAAAATTGCGTGTAAACAATTGAAAAAAACTGTAATGACAGATCTCTCTCTCTCTCTATCTATCCATCTATCTCCATCTCTCTGTCTATCTGTCTTATCTATCTATCTCTGTTATTATAATAATATCTATATGTGACCCTGGAGCACAAAACCAGTCATAAGGTTAAATTTTTTTTAAATTGAGATTTATACATCATCTGAAAGCTGAATATATACTATTATGCATATTACTAATCAAAAATTAAGTTTTTATATATTTACTGAAGGAAATTTACCACAAAATATCTTCATGGAACATGATCTTTACTTAATAACAATAAATAAACACACCATTCTCAACATCCACATCACCAGCTGGAAAAATGAAACCATATTCATTTCAAACACTGTCTGATGATGAAGGCGATTTATTATTAATAGCTCAAACAGAGCAGAACAAAAGATCTTTTGGGATCTGTTTGAGTCTGGGTGTGACGGTGAACTAGTCCTGCTTTAATCTCGATGAAAGCTGTCCTTCTCTGACGATTTTGTTCTGTGCTAATATTTATTGGAAAATGGTGAGCTCTGCCTTAATGTAAATTATTAATAAAAGATCAGCTCAATTCAAAGGAAAAGGGGAGCATATCGTGTGTGTGTGTGTATGTGTGAGTGTGTGTAACTGGTATTCCCTACATTAGGGAATGTCCCCACAAAGACAGTAATTTTGGCTTTGGGGACATTGTTGGTCCCCATAAGGAAAAAAGCTTATAAATCAAGAATTTTGAGAATCTGAAACAGCAGAAAGTTTCCTGTGAGGGGTAGATTTAGGTAAGGGGATAGAAAACACTGTTTTTACAGTAGAGAAACCATTACACCTATGTGAACCCATAACACATGGAAACCAGTGTGTGTGTGTGTGTGAGTGTGTGAGTGTGTGTGTGTGTGTGTGCGTGCGTGCGTGTGTGTGTGTGTGT